TATTCTTTTTATTTAAATCAAATATTAATGAAAATATTTAGATTAGTCAGATATCATGAAATATCTCAAGAATTTATATTTCATCAGATATCTGGTTAACTTAAGTAAATATTTTTATTAATATGTCTCATATAATATAAATTATCAAGTTTAGTACTCATTATATTTAAAAATTCAAATTTTATAATTATTATCTATTGAATTATGGAAAACGATTTTTTTGTAATCCAGTCAGATAGCGAATAATTGTCAAATATCCAGTACATCCTTATTACAGAATTCCTATACATATTTCAAACGATAGATAAAAGACGGAATAAAAATTGAAATGTCGACAGAAAAAGAAATTTTTATTCAATCTAATATGAGCTTTGGTTTCTTCTTCATTTTCTATGAATTATCATCAACTGTCCATTGTATCAATTTTATCTTGCGTTTGATTATCCGTTTCAATCTGGTGGATTTTTCGCTTGCTATGTCGACTTGTTAGATTCTGTTGATCATTTTTCAAAGTTTTTTTAGCTTGATAGATGGGTTCGTACTCTCTTAATTGTGTCATAAAACTTTCATTTGGATTTATACAAAATCTTTTCTGTTGCACTATCATGAATGCATGCCTAAAACAAATATCATAAAGATTTTTCAATTTTGCAATTTCAGCAAATATTTACAATTATAAAGTAATATATAAGTATGTAACTCTCTTTTATTAAAAATTTATGTATAAAAATAAGAATATGTGGTCTCTAATATGCATAAATTCTATATTGTGCAAATAGAAAACAACAAATCATAGAAAACAATTCTTACGATTGTGAATATCCATATGTTTCCATAACATATGCCATAACTAATGCTGCAGATCTTGAAATACCAGCATTTCCATGAACAAGAACTCGACCACCCGAATTTAAGCCTTCGTCAATGAATGTCTTTACTGTTTTGAAGTGTTGAATGATATTTTCTGTCATCGTATCAGCGATTTCTAGGACTAGATATCTATAGAATATAAATAAATAAACTATAAATATATATAATCAATTATTAAATGATTAGAGATAAAATAGAAAAATCTTATAAATCATAAAAATTAAGAAAATATTTATTTAAAAATGATTTTAGATTAATTAAATTTTAATTATTATATTAAATATATTATTACAAATGTAGAAATAAAAAAATAGACTAGCATAAAAATATCGAACAAAAAATATTAAGAAGAAAAGGACTTAAAATATTATAAGAAATGAAGAACTTTTTAAGTTCTTTAAGTTGTTTTCTTCTTTATTAAGAGACTACTAATAAATCATATTGAGATCATATACTTGAAGTGATTAGGAAAATTTGGCCTTATAAGGTTTGCCTCAATAGCATGTCTGACACAAACTATATGTGTTATCCTATGTTCTAGTAGAGATTGTAATTTAGATCGACTAGCAGCACTATATGGTCCAAGAAACACACCAGGTACCACTTCCTGTAATATATAATACATAGTTATATATCTTAATGACATATAATTTATTAAAAATCAAATAAGTAAAAATAAAAGAATAAAGAATGAAAAAAATTAAATAATATTTTTTACAAGCTTAAAAAAGCTAATATAT